TCCTTCAAACTTTATAAGTCATCCATAAGCGCAAATGAGTTCCTTGCGGCTTGCATTTTTCCATTGCCATTTATCCTGTGCTGGTCTCTCAAAGAAATTCGAAAACGAAGAGTGAGCGATTTTACGAATGCACAGGAAGAGAGCGACGACGTTTTGGAAGTTCTTCATGGTCCATTTCGCCCACCAAGCACTAATGACGGAGGAACACTGTACTGGGAAAGTATTCTGATTGGACGACGGTTTGTCCTTCTCGCATGCCATACGTTTATTCACAATGCAATGTTGCGTATGGTTTGCATGACTTTCGCTTGCCTCCTGATGACCCTTCATCACATGTTGAAGAATCCATATCGAGACCCACTGGCTAATAAAGCAGAGACTTTGTCCCTTTCTGCTTTGACAATGATTGCAGCAATCGACCTACCAAGGGCAACCTTGCTTTTTATTGGCTTAGACGTGGGGCCGGCGAAATCTTACCTGGATTACCTAGAGTGGATTAAAGTAGTAGCCTTGGCTTTTATTCCAGTGTTAGTTTCGCTCTTGGTCACTTTTGCATTTCTCTCCCAGATAGCAAGATTCGTAGCCTTCCTCATCAAACACATACGACGTTGGTGGCAACTCTGTACGTCTGCTTCGTTCACGGACGAAAGGAGACTTCTGCTGGATATCGGCGAACTTGATGGTGATTCAGAACCTTAACATTGTTTACGCCTTGTTTATCAGTTTTGTCTTTTTGGTTTAGGTGTGTGGAATCTGTTATGTTCCCCTACTTCCTCCCTCCTTTCCCCAAGAGTTGTGAGTACCGGGGCTTGTATGCTTTGTACAGTTAATCCCTTTAAAACTAAATGGTTGCTATTATCCTGTACACAATAGGAAGACCGTTATAAAATTAATGTTAAGAGAAATCTCAGGGTGGTCAACGTTATCTAACATGGAAAGATTTTACTGGACAGTTTGAAAATTTGATAATTTGTAAGACTTGCACAAAAAAGGATTGGAGTTTGACTTGATGGTAAAGATTGTAATTCCAGCAGACATCCTTTGAACTTTACAGAATTTTTGATGAAAAAGGATTGGTAAGGATTGTAATTCTTGTAGAAATCCTTGAAAAGTTACAGAATTTCTGGTGAAAAAGGATTGGAGTGTGTCTTGATGGTAAGGATCGTAATAACTGTAAAAATCCTTGTCACCCCAAAAACCATAGAAATCCGTCCTTTTGAGACATAAGCCTGGAAATTTCCTTTCTAACCTTTTTATGTGGTTGTTCTATCACTCATAAAATTGTATGTTTTATTGATTTGAAACAACTAAAATGTTAAGAACAAGCTCTAAGAATTTCACACCACGCTATTCTGGTAGAATCACAAAATAGGCACCCACATAATTAATGTTCAACAAGAGTGACAGAGGTTATGCTCTTGAAGAGCAAATTTACATTTTGATAATCAGAGTTAACGAGTTTTTTTCTTTTTTTTTTTTCATCGCGGTGTTTTCTAAAAGATATAGAAAACATGTTTTCCGTGTATCTATCGAGTTATAGAAATACTCGTGAAAGTTTGGGAGAACTCGAAAAAGCTGTGGACACACTTGCCTGCGGCTCATGTTCCCACGGCATTTCTCGTTCTCCCAAACTTCCACTCGTATTTCTATAACTCGATAGAAACACGGTACATGTTTTCTATTTCTTAAATACAATACACTGATACAATATAATATAATACAATACAATAATATACAATACAATACAATATATAGAATGAATACAATGCAATGCAACGCAACGCAACGCAACGCAATGCAGTGCAATACAGTACAGTACAAGATATGGTGCGAATGAATGTTAGTTTATCTTTTTCGGACAAAAGTTCAAAGTAGGAGGATCAGTTCGGTTGAAATGTTTATTCGAAATAAGGTTTGCTAGTTGGAAATTACAAGTAATTTTAAAACAGTCCTTTATTCGTCTCTTGATGGGCCTGATGTAGTGATTACAGATCATTTATTTTATATCACGTGCAGAACAGCTTTTATATCACGGGTTATACAGAAGTTGTTTTTGTCGGTTTCAATTTCATTTTCAATTGAGTACCCTTTTATTTCTTCTTCACCTAAAACATTGTCCGCAACTGTGCTTTAAGAGAGTTAATACAATTTTTTATTTACCTTACTGCTGTACTTTTCTGTACTTTTCCTTGGATGTGGTTTTATTAGAAAGCCACTATGTAATTCACAAATGGCACTTACTGTTCCGAGCCAAAAAAAGAGAGAGAG